ATATACAAAGATGCTGAGAAGATGATTCCCCCTGCAGGACTTGGTAAGAGCTAAGAGGTGGCCTGGCAGGTAGAAGCACCTGCTGGTACCAGCCACCCTTGCCCTTCTGTAGGAGGGGCCAGACACAGCTTGAATGGGGAGGGGGGGGGAAACCCCGGAGGCCGGGGGCGGGGCAGATTCAGCAGATGTTCCGGTTCTTAGTCAGAACTTTTTGAGAGTTTGTATTTTAACTACATTGCAACCTTACCAGTAGGAAGGCAACCTGAATGGCTCAGCCTGACCCATTGCTCCATTCCTGGAACCCCGAATTATTGCCTCCTTGGGCCACGGAACAGGACAGTAAAAACGGCAGGTTTTCAGGGTGGCCAGCCCTGGGCTCCAGTCCTACCGTTATCTCTCCCAGGTATGTATGAACCTGAGCACGCTTCGGAACCTTTTGTTCCTCATGCCCAGACTCGGTTGCTCATGAGAGAGCAAGCTGGCCGTGGGGGAGACTGGGCACCCATCCGGGGTAATAGAGCCCCTGCAATGTCACCACGGAGTCTGAATGAAGAAAGCCTCAGTTTGAGGCCTCCTCCCTGCGTGTTCACTAGCAAGCATGTACGAATAGCGCATGGCTGGTTCAGTGAGCTTGAGAGGACTCTGCCTCTTGCTTCTCCGTGCCCCTTGAACAAACAAGAGTTGCATCTGGGACAAATGCAGTCCTATTGGCAGGATTTTTGAGTTACTTGTTAGGAGTCAGCCAACCTACAGACCTTTTAAATTAGATGGATGCGGAACGTTTTAATGAGCCAGGTGGGTGGACATTCATAGGGGTTAAGCATTTTTATACGGCACTAATGCAAATGGGCTCTTTAAATTGTTTTAGCTATTCATGTATGTTAAGCAAACTATAGATTTTATCAGGGGAAATGCATGTCAACAGACATCCATTATGCTAATGAAAACACCCTCAAGTACTGGCTAGAGATTATTTAAATAGCTGAGGGTCTTGTAGCGGCCCCCCTCTGGAGTGGGGCTTTCTGATTAAATGCCAGCAAACTCCCCTGGATTATATATTCCTGATTAGGCCAGTGACTGTCGTGTAGGTGTGGCCTAAAAACACATTTATAGAACACAGTGTGTCGAGATGCTTGAGCGGAAATTACAAAAGACAGGATGCCTTTTGCACCTTGTAAAGGGACATGCTTTGTGTCGTCATCACCAGAGGGTTTAATTACGAGGGAGCGCAATGCAGAGCTGAGCAACCAGACTTAGAGCATTGGCTGCCATTGTTCCCTTTGCTTGGGCGTGCAGATCCAAATGTGTTCTTGCTTTTGGTAGGATGCTGAATACCTTTTTGCTATTATCTAAGAGTTTCGCCGCAGACTTGAGTAGGATCAAAAGTTGTGATCCCTGACATGCAAGGAAATTAAAGTTAAAATTTATCTGTTAATCCTTTCTACTTATCCACAAAATCTCTCTAAACTACTTCCTTGCTGCCTGCTATCTCTGTTTTAAAAATGCATGGATAGACTTCTCTCAGATGGAAAGAGGTCTTAATATTTAAAACAGATCGTTTTATCTTACATATTCTCCGTGAGCTTTTCCACCCCACTACCCTACAGAAGTTTATTCGGACATGATACATTTGAAGATCCTTCCTGACAATATCTTCAACAATATATACAGAAATTTCCTAATTAGTCTTATTGCCTGTGACCTTAAAACTCTAACTGTTAAGAACATTACCTCGGTTGATGACTGTTATAGCCTTTTGTGTGTATGATGTGTGCGCATGTGTGTTTACAATTGATCAGAATAATTGCATGGCCAGGCATGGCGGCCCATGACTGTAATACCACTCAGAAGGCAGAGGGGACAGGACTATGACTAGGAGGCCAGCTTGGGCGACACAAGGAGACAATCATACTGTATTTTGATGGATATATAAAAACAGATATTAAATTGCTATCAGAAATAAAACTTTATGTGTCTGGACAAACCATTTCTAGAGTGAGATACTGAACATCAACATTGTGCTCTTTTGCTGTATGTGTGTTTGTGTGCACGTTCATATGTGTGTAGGTGTGTGTGCACGCAGGCGTCTATGACCGTGTGGAGGGCAAAGGCAACCTCAGGTGTTGCTCCTTAGGCACTGTCTGTCTTCTTTTTGAAATAGGGTGTCCTGCTGGCCTAGCACTTCAGACAGGGGAGGTCACCTGGTTAGTGAGTCCCAACGATTCACCTGTCTCCACACCCCCAGTGCCGGGGCTACAACTTCATGCCACTGTGCAACACACCTGCATTTTTGTGTGGCCTCTGGAGATGGAACTCTGCTCACTGAGCCATCGCCCCAGTTCAACAACAACGCTTTTTTATTAATTTAATTTTGGGTATTTTGTGATGTTTTCACTGTGCTGCTCAAAGCGAGCCTTGAACACATAATCCCCCCGCCTCAGCCCTCTGAGTGCTGAGATTACTGGCATGCATTGCTGAGTGATTTAGTATTTTCTTAGTTATCGATTTTACTGGTATAAGAAACAAGGTAGTTTATTCATGTCTAGGGGAGAGGAGGGAGTTTTGCTATAACGGTGGATAGCACTCAACTATTTGAAACCTGAACCTTTCAAGAAGTCTTACAACTGTCTCTGAGAACTGACTTGCAAGCTACATTACAAAGGTAGTCAAATTATTTAAATCACCAGGCTCTGGTAAAATTGAATTACAGGCTGTACCTCGCAAAGAGCCATGACTGGTTGAGGCATTGGCAGAGAGCAGGGGGCTGTGGGAAGGACCCTAAGCTGGGACTGGATACAAATGAGGACCAGAGATCGCTCTCTCGCCATTTGCTACATGCTGCTCAAATGTTTTTTTCTCCCTTGCGTCGATCATTTGATCATTTACCATAAGATGTGTTAAAAGGATGTGATTTTCATTTTTAATTTACCCGATGAGAATGCTAATGCTTGTCAGAGAATGAACTCGGAGCAGAGATGCCTTGCGTCTGTTCCTCATGGGAGGAGCTTCACGTTGGTTGTGTTTTGGGACCTTCGCTTCACATCAGGTCCTGTGCAACAGCCTTTGTCTTTATTTGGAAACATGGTTTAAGCATGTGTGTGTCGGTGTCACATTGACAAGGGGTAGACTGCTATGTGTTTAAAGCCTGTCAAGTCATCAAGGCCAAAACCCGCGGACCAGACTTCCCTTTCCTCTATGTTTCTGGTCAGAGAGACTGTTGGGGCTGGAGAGGAGAGCCTGGGGCTGGCGAAGCGGCCAGCCTTTTGTAGTTCACATAGCTTGGCATACTTCTGCTGTCTCAGCACAAGAGGTAGTTGGAGCAGCAACCGCTGTACTTTCACCCCGTATCTCCTACCCACTTAGCTTTCCTGACTCTTGGACCAGTTATCACGAGTCACCAAGGTCCTGGCCTCTGAAAGTCAGAGCCAACAAGAACTGACACACGTTCCAGGTGATACCAGGTTATATGTGCACGTGTGTGCTTTTGTATCTCTACATGGGTGCAAATATATGTGTGTGTGTGTGTGCACATGTGTGTTTTGCACTTGTTGTTGCTCATCTAGACCTTCCCAATGCCTGTTAGCATCAGAATGGATGACAAAGAGCCCTGAAAAGACTGCTGAGCCACCTCCCACAATTCCATGTGTTTCTAGCCATTAATAAATCCCATCTTCGGCATTCTGCTTCTTTGAGAGAACACATTGAATTAGTTTAATGAAAAGTTACAATCATTATTTTATTTTTAAAATTATAATAATTCAGTATAATTTATAGCTAAGTTTGTGATTTTTTTTTGTTAGCTGTTGGCACAGTATTTGGTCCACAACCAAATGTGGGCTCATAAGGAAACCCTGATGGTCCTGAAAAATGATTATAGTGGAATATCTGAATAATCTAAAATAACTTTATTTTTGGACATTTCCTGTTAATTTTCTTCCATTTGTTTAATAAAAGCAAAAAGATTAAATAGAGTTAAAAATGATCACTAGCACACAATTTTATGCTTTAATTAATAGCTGGTAAAAATAATGAACATTTTGTTATATGAAATGAGCTTTTAGTGTAATTAAATGTTCTATGATATACGATAAAATGTTTTAATTATGCTAGTAACAATTTCCACAAGATCTAGGAAGATATTATCTAAAGGTTCCCTCTCAGTTTATCTGGAAAATATTACATTTAAAAGAATTAGTCATCGCTGTCTTTTAGAGCCTTTATTGTTGGAGGTGGCAGCCTTTCTCTTTGGCTGGTGGCAATTTCTAGGGATGGGTTTTGAGAACAGCAGAAATCATTTGCTTGTGTTTAGATTTGTAGAAAGTCATATTTTAGTGCCTGGAATTTCTAATTGATACTGTTCTTTGCTCCTCAAAGCAAAGGGATTGTGAAATCCCTCCTCAGATCGTTCATCCTTTGAAAGCAAACAGACAGATTTAAATAAAATCAGATGAAGGAGACAAAAGGGAATGCCTGCTGGTGTTGGGGACTGGGATAATGGATGAGTTAGGGGAAGGAAGGCTTGTGGAAAAAAAATTTTGTGACCCACTGGGGATGGGGTCAGAGGGGGAAAGGAAACCACAGCAAGTGTCCTGCTATAGAGATGACAGTGGAGATTGGGACCGCAAGAGCAGAAGGAGGCAGGAGGAGAGGTGAAGATTGCAGGGGCTTACCTGTTTCCCTGGCTGGGTTGGCTTTGACGGGGCATGCTGGAATTGGGGAACAAAGTTAGGTGGGGTAGATCTGTGGGATCCATGTAAAATGGGGTAAGGGGGAAAGGGAGGCTGCATTGGTGCTCTGTTGCAGAGCTTGGGGTAAGATTGAGAGATTGGGTCTGCAGCAACAGAAGGAGAGGTGAAGGTCTGCATCTTATCTACCTGGTTCCATGGCAGGGTTGACTGGGAGAGCCTGCTGGATTTGGATCATAACCCAATCATGATCATCTCCCAAAAAGACACTACCCTGTCCCCATCTTCCTCCTTTTTTTTCCTGGAGGTATCTAACCACCCTCCAGACCTAGAAAACAGTCAATCGACTGTCATCATCTACTTTTGTCTGATACAATGATTTACTACACACTAACTTGTATAATGTGTGGTCCTTCCCTCGGCATAACCTTCTCAAGTTCATCTATGGGATCTCCAACTATGATGCAGCCATCTAGGTATGTTATCCCTTTTTATTTCCATTGCATGTGTATGTCACATTTAAAGATGTATTTAGTGTGTGTGTGTGTGTGTGTGTGTGTGTGTGTGTGTAAAAGTTGCCCACTATTACTTGGAATTACAATAGAAAATGTTACTCTTATAGCACCACCTAGTGGACAGTAGTGAAAATACTTTATTGTTTGGTTCAGTCACTGAAGAAAAAAAAACAATGCAAAGTTTTGCAGAAGTTTATCATTTACTGGCCACCCCAAGTCCTTCTTGGATAGAGATTTGAGATGAATGCTTTAAATATGACTCGGCTGTGGGGTGTGGGTGCGTCTCATTGGCAGAGGGCTTGCCTAGCATGTATGAAGCCCCGGGTTAGATGGTGGCGCTCACCTGTAATTCCAGCATTCAGGAAGCCAAGGAAGGAGGATCAGAAGCTCAAGGTCATTCTCAGCAGCAAAGAGTTCAAGACCCCATGCCTCATAAATAAATAAGTTAGTAAATTAATTGAGTGAACTGGATACTATGAAAATAACTGATTGAATCCACTCAAACGTGGTCCTCTCTGATTTTTAACTTATCCATTCACTAAAAACCTCTTTTATTTAGATTGTTTCTGTGACCACCACCACCACCACCACCTTAGGGTTTCACAAAAGGATGCATTTCTGCAGTCCAGTTTTTTCATTTATTTTCATGAGATCTTAGCTCCCCTTGAGTGCTGGGGCTGAACTCCAGGCTGAGTGCTCCACCACTGTGCTCCACCACTGACCTACACCCCAGCCCGACAAGCACCTCTGCTAATAGCAAGTCAGAAGGGAGCACCTGGCAGAGCACGGCTGCTGCCCTTGGGCTTTGCTGACCTCACTTGGGTCTGGACCGCTTTTCTCCATCTTCCTTTCTCGGTCACTGCTGCCATGTGCGCCCCTCACCCATGTCCTCTAGGGGGCCACTCATGCTCTTGTTTTGAGCCATACTCTGGCCCTGTGGGTATTTGGGAAGTGCTTCCCCCTGTGAAATTAGTCAGTGGCCCTCCCTCCCTCTCTTCTTTCTTCCCTCCCTCCTTCCCCATAGAACATCCAATCAGAATACTTAAAAATTTTAAATTAAACACAACGCCATTACCATGCAGGAAATGCCCATGCTTTACTTGAGGTTGGCCTTCTTCTGAGAGGTCCCTTGGATTTCTCACATCATTGCGAATCCCTATGATTTGATAGTGTTTCTCAGTGTTGGTCTTGGCCCTGTGCAGTCCAAACCAGTTCTAGCCAGTGGGAGAGCTTCTTTCTCTCCATCTCCTGCTCCTTTTCTCATGCCTACCTCCCCCTCCTTTGGGGAGGGAGCAAGCTTTCACCAGTTATCCAACCAGAGACTCAGAAGTCACCACTCTTCCACCGTCCTCCCTCCCCATCTCCACTCTTCCACCGTC